TTTTTTTTTTTTTTTTTTTTTAGTAATATATAGCTTTTGCGGAATTCGTATGTGCACGTGTGCGCGAGCGGAATGAATTGTGTGATGTATATAATGTATAGTATATGCAAATATTAATTGTAATCCAAATACTAATCATACGAAAGTATATATAGGTACATCTTTAGAAATTTAACGAGTAAAATTTATTTAAATAAAAATAATACTGATGATAAACTACTGAAGAAAATTACCGCAATCCCGCGGCAGTCCACGTACGAATTCGAACACGGAATTAGTCACAATATTAAAATATGTCCAATTACAAATAAGGATACACTCGGTACATCCAAAATACGTAATGCTGAAAACAAAATAGAAAAAGCTCGCTTATCGAGCAAATTACCTTTCCTCGTCACCATCGAAATTCTTTGAAAAAATTTAAAAATTAACGTTGATCGACATTACGAATCGCCCGGCGCTCCGAGCACCGGGAACGTTGATTGCCCAGGGTTTAGGGTATTACCGTTCCTATATATGGACAAGGACTGATCGTGTGATCGGTTAAGCGTAAATCGTTATACTCGAAAGAGACTAGTGTGGATGTAATCGTGTACATGGTCGTGTACGAGTGTACGCCTGATGTGGTATGTCGCGTGTGACATGGAAGGAGTTGTCGAATGGGGCGACCCGTGATCTCCCCCGATGTGCCTGAGTGACGCCGGCACGGGGATCTCGTCGTTCGTGGGGAACGGATGGATATGCTCCTGCCATCGGCGCACTACTAGTCGGCGATTCAAGAACGAGAAACGTTCGACAAACGTGAGAATGCGCGTGAATGCGGTGGAAGACGCGCAGCTCGATCGAGCTGATCGATCGACGAGAGATCTCGTCGACAATACAATTTGCACACGTCAAGAGAGAAAGGGAGCGTGAGAGAAAGGGAGAAAGGCAGACGAGATTAAAGAAGACAATTTTGGAAAATGAAGTAAATGGAGACAGCGAGATAGAAAGAGAAGAGAGACAGAGAAAGTAGGTGTGAAGACAGACAGTGAGTCGAGAAAAAAGCTGTCATTACCATTATGGCGAAAACAGGTCTAAATCCGGGAGCTAGTCATGCATGCAAGGCGAGCGAGAGGGGCACACACTATTAGTGCAGGCTAGTTTTCGTTCTCGGTCAGGTGGACATGCGCCAACTGACTGGACTTTCGGGAATTACTGTGTTGAACTCGGTACTTCATTTATTTTTCACGTCATTTCTCGCGAACATAAAGTTCTCCTGGAAATGAAATAAATTAATCATGCTCATCGTTACGTGACATATAAAGTCGCAGTGTTTGATCTACTCGTTCGTGCGCAATGAATTTTCCATTTAATTCGTTGTAAAATATATTGCGTTCTCGCAGTAGCTTTTGCTGTTGGTTGCAATTGCAAAAATCCCGCGCGATTGGCATACTTTGAAAAAAAATTGACAAAAAACGTATCAGTGAAAAATAAGGAAGTATCCGATAATATATAGCATCGCCTTGGGATTGTGTCTTGCAATGAAGATTAAAAATGCAATCATTATTGTGCTGATCATCATCATTATGATAATTATTCTCATAATCATCACTTTGGCTTGCAAGAGATCGATTTATATCGGAGGTAATATATGTATTCACAGGACAGAGAGAGAGAGAGAGAGAGAGAGAGAGAGAGAGAGAGAGAGAGAGAGAGGCGGAAAAATATAGACAAAGAGAAAGAGCGAAAGAAAAAGACAAAGAGAGATAGAAAAAGAGAAATGATGAAGGGCAGGGAGCAATGAAGAATGAGAGTACTTAATAAAAAGACAAAATATCGCGCGCACGCACGCGCAAGGCGCGGAACAAGGTTTTAGTACAGAGGCAGAAACAGTAGACAGTACAGTCAAGTTGATGTTTGGCGAATGAAGGGGTTGAATCAAGAGCCAGATCGTATATAAAAGGGCAAGAAGGTTAAAAAATAAGTGATTGAAAGATACTCATAGAGATGATAGTAAAGTATCAGAACGATTGTGAGAGACGTTACCTAAGTCCCGGCCCCAGGAGCGCTGCTGCTGCCCCACTAGATCATATATCACAATAGGATAGTCACAACCATGTCACTTTGTTAATAGTCGCATTTATTATCTGTTATCACGCTCTCAAACAAGGGCAAAGAGAGTGGATCGATGTAAATCGGAGTAAGGGAGAGGGAAAGGGAGAGATAAAGAGAGCTTCCTACGTGATCCGTTTATACTTATACGTTAATTTATATCGAGGCGTTATAATTTTATGAATCAAATCAAAGACACGCTCCGTCAATATCGACTGACAGAGAGAGAGAGAGCGAGAATGAATGAAAGAGAAAAAGATATATATACTATATATAGAAAACAGGGAGAGAAATCGCGTGTGAAACTCGCAATCTCTATCAATAGATTGAGCGCGTTCTATATACAAAATACATCTGTGTACAGTTTATACGTATGTTAGATATAGACATATGTATATGTATATATTAATATATACATAATCGAGAGAGAAGACCGGGTATTATTTAGCAGAAAATTTGGCAAAAATTGAGAGAGGCTGTTTAAAGGATCATTGGGCCAGAAAGACTTACAATTTTTGCATTTGCACTTCTTGATCAGAGTCTCGTCTTTAATATCCTCGTGGCATGCTTTGCAATAGAACCACGCCCTAGAAATGAAAGCACAAAAGAAACACACGATTATTATTCGCACAAATTATAATATAAGAAGAAGTTTTTTAGATTTTTATTGGAAAAATCTAAAACAATAGCATCAGAAAATACAGAAAATCAATTACAGAAGCTGATTGTATACAGTTCAGTTTATAAAATATTATAAAATAATGGAGAAAAAAACAATATACATAGATATTATCCTATTATTAAACATTCCTGTAATTTGTTGTAAAAATGATAAAATAACGCTTATTCTAAGCTATATTAAATGTTGCATATTGAGAATAAATACGTATGATTTTAACTATAGTTGTTTGAATTTCTTTAGCTTGCCTTGAATGTAGTCTCTTATTTTGATAATTAATAATTCTTATGACTTATAACAGAATTAAGCAAGAATATACAATGTCTACTAAATGCGATTACAATTTTCTAAATAAGTCTTCATCTTTAAATCTTTCTGTAATGTTTTTAAATATTCGATGATTCTTACCGCTTTACTTCGTCAGCAGATTGAGCAATGAAGAATCCCTGAGTATTTGCAGCGATCTTGGCACCACGTGGGTTAATCGAGATTTTACTGTCAGAACCTCCTTCGCCCTTTATCTCGATAGCCAGCAGCAAGAGCTTCAGTTTTGTGAAGCACAACCTACGACGAAGTTATGCGTAATATTCGAAGTTTCGCCATTGAGCGTCAAGTGTTAACAGAAAATTTATATATTTTGCTTTGTTTATATATCATACATTTATGGACATGATAACACTATATGCAAAACATAACCACCGATAAGCGACTAAGAATACTGCGAAGATATTCTTGATAATGAGTTGTGTTTAAGTAAGTATAATAATGTGCACTAATGTTTAAATTCGTTCCTTATTACGTAAAAATTTGTACAGCAATAAAGTCAATTAATAACTATAAAGTATCTTTTAACAAAAGAGAATATCAGAAATAGTTAAGAACAACTCAATATCATCCGTGTCGTGCAAGCAATGAAACCTGAATTCGTAAAAGGAACTCCTGTTGCTTATGTGGAACCATTTTCATTTTAATTTTATTGTAAAGCACAAGATTATCTAAACAATTTTGTAGTATAATTATTTTAATAATCCTTTAATATACCTACTTAAATGTAGTATATATGAATATTTGCATATGAACGCAAGCTTCATTCTTGTACAAAATTTATTTGCAAATGTAGCATAAAGTATTTCTAGACTATATATGTGTGTGTGTATTTAAAATGCACAATAAGACAAGGTAGAATATTCATTTAAGATTCACATTTTATTATCTACAGTCTCAAAAAAATATGTGAAAGTACAATTTTATTTAATATTATTTTATTATTTAACGTACCTCTTATTGTTTAATGTGATATAATTTAATAATAAATTAATATTTTATAATCTTTCATACTTTATATTTTTCATTTAGCAAATAATACGTGTTAGTAAAATATGTGTATATACACCCACAGCGTAACGGGATACTGATTGTGCAGAGGCAAGCCTTATTATTCAAAATATCGAAGCATTTAAATTTATAGCGTTTGTTTATTTTAAAAAAAAATAAGCCTTGTTTATACCTGCATGTATCATTGTTCCCGTTATATCACCTCGGCACTAATTGAACGTTAAACAATCATGCAATCAATGCAACATGTATTGATGAATAAATCCAGGCGATCATGCAGGAAAGTCTTACGCAAACGATAATTACTTATTTAATAATATGAGCCGAAACATGCCAAGATAGGTTGAGAGTCTCTACCGCCCTTTATAGACTATCTATTATGTTCTAAGTTCCTAATCTATTTCTCAAAGTTCTAGGAGACATTCGGGAGGTCCCGTCCATGTAAGGATCAAATGGATTAACTAATGTTTGGAAAGCATTATATGTATATAATATAATCGTATACGATATATGGCGTATAAAAAGATAACGATAATAAATAATAAATATTCATAGATATAATAAATATTCATAATGTACTCAATGTGAAGATCGCTTCTTAGGAATAGATCTCTCACACACGCAAATCAAATGATGACGATCCAAGTGCGCATAAACCAAACAGAAAATTCGGAAGAATTATAGCTTTCTGTCTCGCGATGCAATTCACTGATCTCTGTAGAATATATTAGCAATAAGAACTTCTATGATTTCCTTTTTTAGTATCATCTTCTTTAAGAGATTGTGATAGTTGTAAAAATACTAATATTTAACTACGCAGAATATTTTAAATTCCTCTCATTTGCTTTCATTTACGAGATAATTTATCTTGAGTTAATATTCAATTGCCTGTTATTTGTTATCACAATTTCTTAACATAACAGCTTTAGATATTTTTTAATTGATCAAGTTGTGAATCAAAATTTGTTGATTTAAGATGTATTCGAAATTAAAGAGGAAGAACAAAGTAACTTAATTTATAAAATTGTATAAATTTTTGAAGTCTCGTAACTCCAAAACTATCGCTGCCGTAATATTTTTGCAGATGAAAGTGTGCTGGCAGTTTTTGCCAGTATTAAATGTATCTCAAAAATTTAGTATTATCTCAAAAATATAGAAAAATGAAAAATCACAGAAATCAGTGATCTTAGGCAAATATATACGGTGCAATTTAGACGGCTGAGAAAGGATATTAAACGACGATTATTTCATTGAGGATTGATTTTCTCTCTTGTCAGTTATTTATTAAAACTATTTATCGAACGACATTTATTACGGCGACGTATATGATAGTATTTATTTAATTTAGTTAATTTAAAGTTCGCTTAATTAATACAGGACGATATATTATATATTTTTACTGTGCTATGTATATTTCTGATTGTTAAGTTTCATTTTATAATATTTATTTTCAGCAAAAACTCATAGCAACAGAAAAAGGTGTATTTGTTTTCATAAATACGTATAGTTCTTGGTTGAATTTATTTTTATACATAGTGACTTGCAACGAAAACAAGATATAAAAGGATGTAAAAAGTTATGACGTATTTCTGATATCTTTTCCATGTTAATTCCATTTTTATAATTAATGCATGTATTTTATCACAGTTTTCATTTTTATTAAATAAAATAATCTTTTTTTTTATTGAATAAAATAATCTGAATATACATGCTTGCAGAAAAATATAAACTACTTTTAGGACAAAGTATACACACTATTCCATATACTTTGCATGTTTTATTTACGTATACATACATCATAATTATAAAATCTTGTGACTAATTCCGATTGCAAGTGACTATATATAACACTATGATCAATTTTTATTTTGTATGTGTGTGTGTGTGTGTATGTGTGTGTGTGTATGAGTGTGTGTATGTGTGTGTGTGTCATAGTAGATATTAGTGAGCTGATATCTGCAGAATATATTAGTACTTGTAGAGAGGAAGAACAGTATAAATTAACTTCCATAAATTACTTCGAAAATTTTCGCAAGAACAGAACTGCTAGCTCGATTAAAGTTTGTTAACGAACAGTGTGTACTAATACATATTTATGTCTAATCAGCAGCCACGATCGATATCTGCCCGTACACTTATTCAATAACCGGTGTCAATGTGTTACGAGAATAAGTTTTACATACTTTTACATGGTAGAGAGCAACAGGCATGCGTGTACAAAGAACGCGCTTTTGTTAAGATAATATTAGAATGCTACATCTAAGAACACACACCATGACAAGGATACGGACATTACCGACAAAAAAGACAAAAATCTTGTCCGTTACATTACATGTACATAAAAGTGTTCATATAAAAAAAAAGAAAAATTGCGCTGTCCTTTTTCCTAATAAAAGTAGAATTATGCCGTTTCGCCGTTTCGGAATGCGGTCACGGTACGCGCGCGTTTCTTTCTCATTTCGTCTCACGTTGCGCCGCAAAACATTGTGATATTGCCGAAGCGGGATGCACGATTTACCGGGATGAATGCGGATCTTGCAAACGATTCTTGAAACACGCGCTTTATTATAACTAATTAAGGCTTATTAAGATTATAGCCACAGGTCACATTATACCATAACACGATATTATGCGCGTCAATTTAGGATTAAAAACATTCAAGGCCGATAATTAAGCAATTTTCGTGACGTTTAATCACGAAAATGAACGTTTTGTGTATTTTATCTTATATGATCTTAATCCTAATTATTATCATATTGGCTATACAATAATAAGGTATACTATACAATAATAAAGTAATTTCAAAACAAATAGTTGATAATGTATAAAAGAAAAAATCAAAATAAGATATCTCTTCTTACAAAAGAAGATATCTTAATATTTTCTTTAAAAACGCAAGAAAAATATTCTATGTAAACGAATTGAGTTAGCAGGAAAATTAAACAATATGCAATTTTCAATATTAATTGTTCCACGAAATAGTGTCAGGACAAGAGAGTTCCATTGCGTTCGGTGGTCTCGACATGGTCGTCATGTTTGACAGGAACATTTTCAGAATCGCGACCATTTGCACGCAAATCACCTGCGCCGGTATTCCCAGAAATGTTTGAATCCAGGTGTAGGTTTGAAACACTTTCGTTTCCGGGAAACATTGTCGATTCCCTCGTTGCCAATCAAATGTCCCAATTAGACCAGCACAACCGACCCCCGTCAATCGCTGTGACTGGGGCAAGCAAAGTCCGCATTCATCCCCGGTACGTCACTCTACTCTTTATTTCTATGCAATTCAACAAAGATTTGTGCAGAATTTCGAGCAGCTCGAAAATGAAAATCAAAACTGATCGAAAGAATAAGGACACGGCCGATCAGAAACAAAAAGATAAAAAAGGGGAAAGAAGGAGAGAAAAGATTCGTACAGCTCAAAACTGGACTACTCTATGCAAAATCCAAACAAAAGGATGTAGACAAAAAGACGAATAATAAAGAGTCTAATAAAAAAAATTGTTCAAAGACTAAGAGACCGAGGTGAGGGGCGATATATTGTATATAAATATATATATGTTTTCAAGATATGTGACAATATGTATGTATGTCCCGATATTGAGACAGTTCAGTGTGTTTATTCGTAAGACAAGATAAGACAAAGAGATAAATAGAGAGAAAGAGAAAGAGACAGAAAAGAAAGGAATTCGTATAACCGAGTATACAGTGTCGATAGAATATTTTCCGTATTTGCATTTTTCTTCTTTCTTTCCGTATACATGAATGTTGTATGACAGTCCGTATAGTTGTCAATTCTGTATATATATATGTTGTGTCGTGTGAGAGTATTTGTTTATAGTACATTTATGTATGTGACAGCCGTTGGCAGCGAGAACTTACTCGCTGGCTTGGGGAAATGTCATCCCGGTAAAGGACGGGGAGAGGGTTTCCGTGTACATCTCGCAGCCCGTGCCCTGCAGGTAATCATTCTGCCATGCCTGTGTGTCCGGCGACTGAAACACCAACCAACCAGACTCCACGTCATCAAACTTTCATGATCCACGTCGCGTGTGAATGCGCGGCGGAAGAGCATCAGCTGCGTGTGAGCTGCTACCCTTCCTAGAGGGAGAGAATATTTCGTATATGTTTTCTAAAGAGAGATCGCGTATCGTCCAACCGATGCGCCCGTCTGAAAAAATTTATCGTAAGATCGCAGTATCTAATTCTTTGATAATGATATTCTTTAAAACACGTTTATCTCGAAGGAACCGTTTCTGGCCGAGAGACAGAATGTAGGCCAGGACACGCTCGGGATACTCGATCCCGAGTGACGCGGGTTCGCGTTGCGTCGTGTCGTCGCACGGCGATCATGCATGATGATGCATTTCGCAATTATGGCGACCGACCGAGGTGAGAGTTATTATCACCGTCACCGGAACGAACGAGCGCCGTTAACGATCAAATTCCAGAGGCCGTAATTCCGGGGGCGAGCACGCGCGCATACACTCACACTCACTCAGAGACATATACGTGGATATTCGGGAGCGCATAGAAGCGCGCTTGATCTCTTCCAAATTCTCTGTCCCACCCCACCTATCAATCTCAGCAATTTATCGATTGATCGAAGCCTGACCATTTCTCACGTTTTCCTTCCTCTGGCTACACTTGCACGTTGCTCTTGCACGCTCAAGCTCTTCAATTACGTTGATCTCTTCGTGTAGGGTATATATACGTATAGTGGAACTCTAAAGTCCGCAAAGAGTGCGCTTTCATTGATACGAACGACGACGAGGACACATCTTCGATCTTCTCGAGCTATCGTTTTTCAAGATGATGGTTTTCAGAGTTCTAGATTCGTAGTACAATATTTTGACTGCTGTGTTTATGTATGTTTCTAGAATCAATCTGCTAGTAATGGTTTTGTAAAAACGAATAATACGGTTGAAAAAATTGGTAGCTCTTGAAAAATACTTGAAAAATGTTTATAAAATATTTTCTGTATTTAACTTTAATTCAAAAGACATTTTTGGAAAAAAATTTATTTTTCTCACACTTCCACATTTCTTTATCTTTCTGAAATAGCTCTATCTGGAAATCCTGACTCATATACATATGCTCGTGTGTTGATCTTCCTCGGGTAACCAACACAACGGGTAAACACGTTGTTGCAGGATTGGCACCAAAACTTGGATCAAAGGATTGCTCTATGAATCTAGCAACTCTACCTCTGACGAGATGGAAATTTGACCGCTATATTTACCCACCCGCCTTTATAATGGTTTGGTCTGGTTTAGAAACTGTATAACAAGAATCGGATCAAAGGTTTTGAATGCTCTACGATTCCATTGACTAACCAGATCAAGATCGTATCATCGTCAGTCGTTCCTCCTTCCATTCGCTTTCTCCGTTAATTAATGTTATTGTTACAAGTCGTTCAAAATTACATGTATATATCAATTGCAAAGAGGGGTGAAAATAACAGATACGTTACTGAAGCGATGAAGGGGTGGTTTACATCGATTAGGTGTAGCACAGATATGGTTTTGTACAATATAGTAGACACGTTCATGTATTATGTTGTAATATACACACATATGTATATATGCACGGAGCTCTTCGCGCTCCGTTGTATATGTGTATATTTACGTATATATAATATATGTATATATACGTTTACGTTTATAGCGGAGTGGAGCGTAGTGAGAGACATAGGCGAGGCGAAGCTTCATCCCTTTTTTTTCCGATTCAAGAGACGACGGACCTTTTTTGAACTACTTTGTTGTCGTTAACATGATCGCAAAACGAGCCTGTAAAATATATGGCGACGATTTTCGCGAGCAAGTCTCACTACTCAAAGGAATTCTTCGCTCGAGTATCCCTCGAGATTCCATTTGGATGAGCTATGCGCGGTGAAACCCTGAAGAGTTTCGTTCATGTCTCACAGCAGCGAGTAGAAGAGCCATCCATTTTCTATGAACTTTTTACATGACCGCAGAGGGATTCAGCACAAGTCGAGAATAAGTAGAACTATTTTAACTTGGAAATTGAAACTCATAAATTTAATATTTATTTACTGTAATTATAACTTGTAAAATAACTTGTTTGCGCTAAAGAATTTTGTTAGATTTTATTTAACAAACAGCTTAAACAGCTTGAATGGTGTTTATGTTAGGAAGTTTAATATAACAGAAAGAAAATTTAACATTTTCTGGAAATATTATATATTTATTCTAAATAAAATTTATATTGTATATATCTATATTTCTTTAACTCGTATAATTGTATAAAAAAAGATATTAATTATTGTTTTAATGTGTCACTACGACAAACAGGAAAAATACCTTTTCTTTTATTATTTTATTATTGTTAGCGAGACGAAGCAACATAAACTTTAATAAGAGTCGATAAGAAGATTCAGTTTGCGAAACTATCTTATCTAAGTTGCTAATTTTGAATCCCTCTGCGGAATAAAAGCGCAACATACAATGCAAAAAGTTCATAAAAATAGCGAGAGATCAGGCTCCCTGCTTTTCCTTATTAGACGATAAAATCGATCGCTACGCCACGTGTTTGCTGCGTCACTGGCTGAAGAAGCATGAATTAAAAATAATCACACGCGCGCCACAACATCATTATTGATACGAAATTAGCGGTCATATCGACGGTTCCGTACGTTTCCTGTAGCGACTTATCCCGCCGCCGTGCGGTGACAAGAAAGAAACGGACATCACTATGATGAAGCGAGGGAGCACAGGGGTAGCAGATACAGCGCAGACACGAGATCAAACACGATTGACGATCAGCGATAGCGATCGAACGAAAGATCACATCCGATTGAACATGGTCCCGTCTCTTGAATCAGACGTATGCGCGGACTATCTGCTGGATGTTAGATTGGTCCATAGACCGACTTACTCAGTGGCTTTCGCAAAGGGCATTCCAATGAAGGTAGGGCTCAGTGTCTCGGTGTACATCTCCATTCCAGTTCCACGCAGGTAGTCATTCTGCCAATCCTGCATATCGGGCGACTGGTACCAATCAACCAACCATTTCTAAATCACACACGCTCCTATGCATGTACGGATTGTGCGCGTATGTCCACAGTGAGGTGCTCGTACCCGATTACTTCCGGTTGTGACGCGACGTGACACGATACGAATCTCAAGTCACTTCCGCGAATCGCGTGACGATGTAACGCGCGCAGCAAATGAATAGCGATTTGCACGATTTGCGAATCACGAGGTAGAAGACATCGGAAATAATTTTATCAATAATTATATCGAACGATTCATATATCATTTTGTAGCTAAGAAGTTTGTACGCTCAAACGCAAGTAATCGCAGGATCGATAAGATCGATCGCGGAAAAAAAAAAAACGGTTAATGATATAAGATCTTTTTTATATACCCGATCACTGTGAACAGTTCAAAGACCTGTACGAGGAGTTGCGTTCAGACATGCATAGATTAGATAGCAGGTACACTGCCGAAGAACGACGTTTTACTGACCGTCTTAAAGGACCGCATCGCGAAGAGATTCGCCATCATTGTGCTGAATCCAGGCGCGAGGCAGGACTGCGCGATGAAACCTAGCTTCAATTCGGCCAGGCATATGACGTCGTCACCCTGCTTCCAGTCCCATGATGGAATGTTTAATAAGTAGGCCTGGAACACGATACGATACACAAGATAAGAACAATCATTAATAGAAGCGTGTAATCGCTAAATAAAGTATACTCGATTCCTGAAAAACATGTACATACAATTTTGGAAAGCTTAACATCAACTTGTATTCTTAATAGGTACTTTATAAATCGCATTTCGTTTCAAGTTAGATTTATAACCGAGCATTTTTTTCAATCGCTCGATAATGGTTACCTTGTTATGATACTGCATTAATTGAATGATAACGCGAATGTCATCCGAATAATTCTTGATGGAGATGACGCGCATGATGTTCGCCGCGTCTTCCGCGTCTGGGTCCTGACAATACTTGTTCGCCAATACTAAACACGCATCCGCCTCGTGTACCTAAAAAGCATGAAAATATTCCGTTTCATGCCGTCCGTTGCTTCATTTTTTAATCGATTAATAGATAGGAAAAATGTATATTGGGCAGGACGTTGGTCTTAAAGCGATAGCAAAATAGAATAGAAGTTGCTCCATGAACGTATATTTGAAATCGGTGTAATAAGTAAGTTTAGATTTTTCAATGGATAATGTTATTATTTATTAGTATGTTTATATTTGTAGTATATATATATATATGTATATGCAGGCATTAAAAAAAAATTATGACTTCTTATTATTAGACTTGGTATTAATACTAAAATGCAAAGTAAGATACCAATTTTTTAATAAATACTGTGATTAACTTAAAATTTAAGTCTTTAGATGCCTGCAAAAGTCACCTCGCATTGTTTCTTCGCCAAATTTCAGAAAATAAAGATGGAGTTGTGAAAAGACGGTAAAAAATCATAAATCAAAATAATATATACTATATTGTTGGATAAAGTTACAATAACGTAAAAATGTAATCTTTCCATTTTATTTAAAATATCCAAAATTACTTATTACTTAATTCAATATAATGGAGCGAAAAAGATAAAATTATCGATTAATTAATTAATAAAATTGTTATAATCAATAAAATTGTGTTGATTTATCAGCAAAGAGAAAAATGACTGTTTGGAACGCGTCGCGATCGTCGAAATCAGTACGGTGCGTGTAAGCTGCTAAATCTACCGATCGTCAATCTACGATTATATTTGGAAAATAGTGACTTTCTTATACTTATTCGTACAATTTTTTTTTAAATTAGAAAAACTTTATATGATGAACACAGAGAGCATCGTCAAAAATACAACATATGAAACGGAAAATTCTTTGGTATAAAGGGTACTATAAAAATATGCATCCACTATAAAAGTTATATAAAAGCATTCAATGAGACAACAATGGCTACTAATATCGAAGATTCGCACAGCTAATATGATTAATCGTTTCACAAAGTATGAGATAAATCAAGTTAATTAAATTCACAAAAGTTCATGAAATCTGAGTTCCATCAATTTGCTTCGTCTATATTACTTAATTTAATTGCCAATTATAATTGCGCGTCTAACACAGTCTATAATTTCACGATTTATCACTGACAATTTCATGCGCGACGCACTTTATCTGAAAATTTACAATTCTTGAATTAATGTAAGATATAATTAGAATATAAATATTTTGGTAATGGAAAAATTTGATTTGATATAAAATAAAATTTACAAAAGCAATGAGACACATAGAGACGTCTCTGAAGTCTCCTTTGTGCGTACCTTCGACGCAGCCGCACGAATCGAATAATAATCAAAAATATGAAAGCGATTCTATGGAACATTCCTTGGATGTGCAAACATCATCGATCATTGAGGGGGGGGGGGGGGGGGGG